CCCACTCCAGAGCCAGATAGTCCTGGCTCTCAACCCTAACCCCAACCTAAACCCTAACCCCAACCTAAACCCAAACCCCGACCCGAACCCGAACCCTAAACCCCAATGCAGACCCTAACCCCAATCCGAACCCTAACCTAAACCCGAACCCTAACCCAAACCCCAACTCCAGAGCCATATATTCCTGGTTCTGGAGCTATGGAGTATGGATCTGTGGTTGGTAGTTTCCTCCTATCACTTCCTGCAGGTGTTCCTAGAGCAGTGTTTTTCAACCACTGTTCCACGGTACACTAGTGTGCTGCTAGTGATAGTCAGGTGTGCCGTAGAAAATTAAGGAATTAATTATCTGCAAATAATATTCCATTTCTGAGTGTGTGTGCTGTTCTAGTGACTGGTGGAGTAATCATGTAATAATTCCTTATGACTAGATTTTGTATATAATTGTGCATATTGAAGTGGACATGTTAAGAGCAATTTGAAAGAAGAAATATAAAAATAAAATATGATAAAAAGACAAGATAATTTAGATAAGAATAGAATAACTATAGTGTTGGGCCACAGCGTAGCCCAACGGTTACAGCGGGCGAACCATGTGTGAAACTCTCCTTAGAAGCGGGCGGCCTGGGTTTGATTCAAACTACTGTCATTAAAGGCCAGTAAAGCCAACAAAATCTTTAAAAATAAAAAGAATAACTATAGTGTTACTGTAGGTGGCTTTTTCAATAAAAAAAATGTACCTTGGCTCAAAAAAGGTTGAAAAACACTGTCCTAGAGCTGTGGAATCTGGATCTGTGATTGGGAGTTTCCTGCTGCCCCCGTGTTCCTGCTCTGCTACTACTCTGCATAGTGTTATTGCTATGCTAACTGCTAGCACTATCATTAGTATTAATATCATTGCTATTTTTCATCCAGTCTATGTGTTGGTGTGTTGGCTCTCTCTCTCTCTCTCTTGCCCCCTCTCTCTCTCTCTCTCTCTCACCCCCAACCGGCCGAGGCAGATGCCCCCCACCCTGAGCCATGGTTGTGCTCCAGGTTTCTGCCTGTTAAAGGAAGTTGTTCCTTGCCTGTGTCGCCTAGTGCTGCTCATGGTGGGAATTGTTGGGTTTCTGTAGTTAACTTCAGAGTAGGTCTGACCTGCTCTGTTTGGAAACATAACTGTTGTTGTGATGTGGAGCTATAGAAATAACATAAATAACTGAACTGAATCACCTGGTGGATGGCGCCCAGCATCTCTGAGCGGCTGGACACGCGCGTCATGGACTGGATCAGGATCTCCAGGTTCTTCTGGAGCCGCTGGATGATCTCCATGGACTGGCTGTCGTCCTCACACAGGGGGGTGAGAGCCTGGGGGGGGGGGCATAGGCAGTAGAGGCTGACATTTTTTCGGGAATCCCACGGGAAACCCACGGCATTCCCGTGGGATTCCTGCAGGATGGGAGTCATCTTTGCTATTAATCAGGAGATTTGGACGGTAGGATAAATGGTTAACGGGAGCAGACGGGAATCAACCAATAGCAAAGACGGAAAAAAAAAGTGGCGGAATAAATATGAGAGTAATAGGTGGGCCTTGCCTCCGGCAGTGGCCCCCCTAAAAAAAAAAAGTAAATGCACCATTTTGTAGTTTCCTTTTAATATCCCTACAATGTATCGCAATTAGAAAATAACTACATGACCCAGAAGCCATCAGGGCTTTTTGTCACGGCTTAAAAAGAATTCAAAGAGCAGTGATGGAGGAGCTAAAAAACATGATTTACAGCGCAAAGTCAGAAGTAATGACATGTCTATTAAGTTCACAGAACTGGTGGGAAAGTCTGAAATATTATATAAGTTTATGAGAGTAGAATGTGACGCTGCTAGCACCATGTACAATGCTTTTAAGACTAAACACTAACTGAAAAAAAATATATATGGGAGCGGTACAGGAGTCAGTTTAAACAGGAGCGGGATGGGATTATTTTTGAAATTTTTGGAGGACTCAGGTGCGGAGATGACGGAAAAACAGGGTTTATTGTAACTAAAGGTGGAAGTCCAGGCAAAGTACAAAAACACGGCTGTGGCAAAACTATGACTATGACAAAGTAACAAAATAAAGATCAACAAGACTGAGGCAAAACATGGCTA